TTTATATTCATGTCCCTTCTAATACACATAAAATTAAAAGTATATTTAGCATATGAAATAAGTATGAAGCATATATTGCACGCAATAAAATCAATTTTATACAAAAATAAATGAGTAACTTGTTACTTACTTATATTGCAATATCTCATTTTATATGAGAGTTATTTTCCAAAACTGAATTTAAGAACATTTTTCTTCTTATTTTTACATTATTTTATGTAATATAATATATATTGATAGAATATATTGATATTGGGTCATTATTCTAGAAGAGTAAAAAGCCCTTTGTTATTTAATGCTAAGTAAAAATTCCTTAAAGATAATTATAGCGATACCAGAAGGGGAAAAAAAAAAAAGAGAGAAATTATACTAACAGAGAAGCAAGCCTATTACAACATGTGTTTAACGTGTGATGAAAATCCTTGTTGAAGATAATTGTTCCAATTACAAAAGATTACGAAACTCTCTCTACATAAGACGAAAGTCTATTAATTAATTGGAGGAGATTGTCTATGTGGGAGTGCTTCCCAACCTTTTCATCGCAGCGGACCAGCCAACGTTTGATCATTTTATCGCGGCCCATTGAGGGAGAGGGCGTTGATTGTTTACATTTTAAACTGTTTTTATTTAATAATTTTAATTTAATTGTAACTAAACATGCCTTCAGAATAAAATACATACACCAAAAAATAATTATAAAGTGGTTCAACATAGAATATAAAGTGATTTCCATAAAAAGTCATACATACCGAAGAGAAATACACATCTGTAAATAGAATAGAAATAATTTAATGCTCCTTTTGCGGCCCAGTACATTTGATTCACGGACCGGTATCGGTCCGAGGGCAGGGGATTGGATATCACTGGTCTATGTTTCTGTTTCAAATGTTTTCGTTATCACAAAGCTTTAGTTGGAACCTGTATGGCGTTTTAAATTCAATATAGTGTTTATTAAACAATGAACAAAGCTTAACTAGTGTGCCGTACACAAACACAATTCCCTATATATATATATATATATATATATATATATATATATATGTATACAAAATAAACTCAATTGTTTTGAACAATATTGATCTGTTTACTATCAATATACTTGAAATAAAGCCACGGTTACTCGAAACTGCTATAGTTTTGCTTTTAAAATTTCTTTCTCTCATTTAATCAATTGAACTACTTTGATAGCTATGAAAATTCTCCTTTTAGTATTTGTTTAAGTTACCCTCCTAAATATAACCTCGGTAGCTGAGAAGTCTCGAACTCATGGCCTGTGTTGTTTCTCTGTCGAATGAAGGAGAGCTATTTTAATGTCGCACTACAAGATAACATGAGGGCTATTAACAACGGACCTCAAAATTTGTTTCTCTGTCAAATCCTGGTTACACTAAAGACCAATTGGGATAACACACGTTAAATTTGTCGCAATAGCGTAACATGGATGTTTGGGGTACCAGCTCAGCTTCGTCGTTATTAAATTACGAGACCCTTGTATTTTTTCAAAGTGCGACATTAATAAATAATCATCTTCCCTGCTGAAAAATGCCATGTCGTCTATCCATTTTATTAAAGCAAAAACGCATACCTATTAAAAAAAAGGAATTTGAAAACAAGTTGGAATGAATGAGTAGATTTTAATTCTTATATTTAACTATTATATATCATTCGTGTATGGCATCACTATAGCTCCTCCATTATGTATAATAATCAACTAGTCTTATCAAAATAGATGATTCTTTAGATTTATTATAAAAGTAAGCCGTTAAAATAATATATAGTTGATGCAAACACAGTAACAAAATTTATTTGGCTCTTTATGTTCTCAGAGAGTGCCTATCAAAATGTATATGCATGTTTTTCCTTAATTAATTAAATATAAATTATAATTGTGGGTCGAAAAGTCAGCAAATCTAGAGTTCACTAACTTTTGCAACAGTGAAAATCAGAATAAACTTTCTAAATATATATAAAAAGCTTTCTAAAGTTTATTCTATATATTTAAAACATTGTGTAGAAAATTAAATTTTTACAAACTTTTTTATTGCAAATAATTCCTATTCTCTCTCTCTATAGTGTAACCATATATTTTTCATTTCTTTCAATATAATGCATTCTTTAATTTAAGTACAACTTTTAACCCCACATTTAATCACATATCTTTTTAATCCTGTAACTCCAATGAAAACATAGAAAAAATCCTGATACAACTTACTCCCAAAAAAAAATAACGATATTTCGAAACCCGTGTGTTTAACATGCCGTTTCTTTTACAAATAGTTCTGAAAATCAAGGGTATGCCACATTTAGGAACGACAACTTCACATCTTTTCCTGTTCTTCATGAGTCACAGCTGATAGTGTATGTATCATAGCGAACGGCCCCCCTCCTCTTCTCCCCTCTTCCCCCCATTCCCTTCCTCTCTGTCCCTTACTCCCTACTACAAGTTAACTCCTTAAACCATGAAATCCTGGTCGCCTCTTTCCCCCATTCTGGTTGCTCCCTCCTTTTCAAAGTTGATCTGGCGATGGGGGAGAGGGGGAGAAGCATTATCCTACTTTCTGACACTATTTGTATCCTGTCGGTAACCATGGCAACCATTCCTCTCCACGCCCATGGCTACCGGTCCCATACATATACGTTCCCATCTGGTACTTTGGGCGCTCATCAAGCGGGTCTCTGTGAAAAGTTAGAAAAATCAAAAAGAAAAAAGAAATGGAAAAGGGGGCAGTAGATGTCGACCGTTTGGGATGCGAAAAAGGCCCTGGTATTTTTCAGATTGTGCGTGTAGTGGTTTCTAGGTTTTATCTCCTCTTATTTATTTGTTTTAATGAAAGGATATTTAAGGAACTGAACACTGAAAGATCACCTTTTGTTTATAAACTCGTTAGTCCCATAGCATTTAATTTCTAGGGCGTGGGAAAATGCCCTTCTACCTGGAGGGAGAGTTGATTAGTTGATAGATGTGAAATCAAAATTTTTTGGTAAGTTCATACAGCGGCGGGAAAAAGTTTTAGAGGTACATTTTAATTTCTTGCTAGTCTCATTGAAATGTTTACATTGTCCATGATACTTGCTCATTATCTTTGCATTTTGAAATTATACGAAAATTATTGGTAGAATGCCCAAGGGGGGGGGGTAAAGGGTTAAAAGCTTCAAAAGACCTTCACTCCCCCCCCCAAAAAAAGCCACGCCATGTAGAGATGCACTATCAATCTGTCGAATTTTGTTTTTCGGTTTTGATTCCAAACATTAATGAATCATTCAAGTTTCACAACAATTTTAAATTGAGTCAAACAATTTACATGATTAAACTTATTAATTTTAGTTTAATCTTTTTTACAAAACGCATAAAACTTTTTATTTAAGCTTCAACAGGTGTTTCTCTGCCTCACGATAAAATTCTTTGTAAAAAAAGAAAAATGGAGAGATTTTTACTTTTGAGAACTAAGTTATACAATATTCTGAAACTTTTAAAACTATATTTCCATTAAGAGAACACATTTCAGAAATGCGTTTGGTAATCAAGATTTGCTGTAGTGACTTAAACTACTCAAGTACTTAAAAAGACTTTATAATGTAAAATCTGGCAATGAAAAAGGATAAATTACACTTATTGAGTTTGATAGAAATTTTAAAAACTACTCAATAATTTATTTTCTTTGAATGAAGATTATTAAGATTTGTAACATTGTTTTCTAAAACCATTTAGTATGGCAATAAAAAAAGGTTTTAAATTTATACAGGGAGATCAAAAGCATGAGATACTTAGGCGTTAACCAGCAGCAGTCAAAAATACATTAACCCCTTTACAAGGTCAGTCTTTGGTGGCACAGTATTGATAAATTGGAATAACTGCAAGCGGGAGTACGTACTAATTATCTGACGTCCCACAAAAGAATTAAAATCGGCAGTTCTGAAAGATATTTGGATTTATATTCCACCTGTTTAAACTGAATGTTACCCTTTTCCTTAATTTTTTAAAATATAAATGTGGAGGATTATTTTAACGAAATATTTTTGAACTCATTTCTTACAAAATTATTCTTTTTGAACTAATTTTATTTCATATTCTTATTTTTGGCGACAAATAACACCACCTAACGAAAAAGTACCAATTTGAATCATGTTTGGTTTCATGATCAAAAAAACCTTTTGATTATGTTACAAAAATTGCACCCATTCTTCTTTAGAAAAAACCTCATATCAATGAAAAAAATTTTACATAGCAAACACATATACATTTTTAAAAACTGTAAAAATAAATATCTTTCATAATCGTAAAAAAAGAATTACACAACGGAAATGTTTCTACCTTTTTCTATGGCCATAAAGAGAAATACCGCGATTTCATGAAGCCATTTTTATATTAAATCCATAGACAGATTGAGAGAGCACTACACTTCATTATTTGAACGCTGTTTATAGAAATGAAAGTTGTTTTCAAAAAGTACTGAAGAATTTGCTTGTTATTTTAATTCTTAAATCTTATAAAGGGGTTTATTTCACTTCTTTGTGCAAAAAATGCATTACGTGAAGATTCATTTTAAAAATAAGTATACTACATTTCTACTATAGGAAGCATAAACATTATACAATAATTTAAAGGAAATAATTTTGAACGTTTAATCCTAGTGAATTGTTTAGGTTGTGTCATAAATTAATGTCCGTTCCAACCCAAAACGTTTCGCAATAAATATTGTATATTAAGGGTAATATTTATATATCAGCTTTAAGAAATGCTTTTTCAGTTGCTACTATTAGTTCACACTCTCTCCCATGGATATATATATCTTGTTCAAATTTTAAATCTTTTGGATCAAATACCTTTTTCATCCACTCAAGTTCAAGTACATTTTTTAAAACTTGTAGTGTGTGGACACTTGATGTTAATACAGTTTTTTCAAATATTAATTTGTTAATTCTATTGAATTAATGAATAAATAGCAACAAACAAAAATAACAGTCCAACACCATATATAAAAAGGAAAATCGCTCGTTGTGTCCCTGTAGCGTAATCGATGGCGCGTTGGACCTCTAATCCAAAGGTCGTAGGTTCGAATCCTACCTGGGATGGTATAATCTCTGAGAATGTGATTTGTGAATAAATAAATAGTAACAAACAAAAAAAGTAGTCCAACACCATCTAAAGTAAGGAAAATCGCATTCTTTTTTGCCACTTAATATTGTGATTCTGTCATATGTATATTCATATTTATATTAATTGTAATTATTTAATAAAAAGTAATCAAATTAAAAATTTTTTTTGTAGGAATTGGTTTAAATTTTTTTAAATATATTACTTGCTTCCTGTGTGAAAATTCCGGAAGATTATAAAATCAATAAATAGTAGAGTTTCCCCCTCAATTATTCAAGAGCCAATTATAAAATTGGCTTTGACAGTTACATCGCTCAAAAGATTTCTACCTTGATAGGACAACTGAACGATCAGCGTGATAAAGCATTCTTTTAATTAATTAGTTCAATACATTGGATAGATTCGTACAATAATGATAATTATCTCGGTTCGAGCGTTTCCATTAATTACCAGAAGTAGAATTGATGTTTCGAATATGATGAATATAAAGAGGGAAAGAATGTATTGAATAACAGTTGGATTGTGAATATACAGTTAAATTTTAACTTCAACACTTGATCGAAGGAAGAAAGTATTTATCTGCCTTCTAGTATATGAACCAAATAGTTACGAGAAAAATTTTATTTTGTCATAAAGTGAAAACGTTAAAGTAATTTAGGTATGCTAAACTTTTGATGAAAGAAATTTAGTTATTCCTCTACAAAAGTTTGATTCTTTTAATGAGCCACTAATAAGTGAATTAAGCAGATAAAGAAAGGAGAAAATTTTTCTTTTTAAGTTATCGTATTTCTACATGGTGTATTTTATCCTCATATACCAACTTTCAGTTCTCATATTTTCCAGTTTTCCAAAAAAAAAAAAAAAACATGTTTATAAATAATTATTCGTGAAGTATAAATCATATTTAGTTAAAAAAATTAGTTTCCAAACGGAGATTGATTGTTTATTACTGTTGTACTCTCTGAAGGAATACGAGGACTAATTGTGACATATCTCGTTATTTTGAACCATAGTAAAATAGCGAGGACAGTACTTGAGCTATCTTGAAGATTTTTAGCCCTTCCAGATTTTACGTTATAAAATAGATCAAGAAAATCATTTTAATTAATAGAGAATATTTCCCTTCCTTAACAAATTTCAGATCTAATAAAATATAAATATAAAATAAATCTAGTTATAATACATTAAACGATCTTTCTAAACATTGAATCTTAGTTTTCTAAGATGTAAAATCTAGTTTACATGGGGAAAAAAATGTTCAATCTTAATAAACTAAGCAAGTTATAAATTGTAAAGAAATGCGGCTTCTAATAATTATCTCTTTTCTCGGGAAAAGAAAGTTTAAAAAAAGGAATGATTTAGCTAAAAAGAATGTTGAGAAACAAATACTTGAGCAATTTTTACTTTTTTCCTTTCTCCCCTTCAGATATGGGAAGCATTCATTTTTAGTATGGTTATTTTCGAAAATACGTAGTTTTTCTTCAGGCTCTTTCAACGATATAAAAAGGGTCAAAATAAGAACATTCAAATATAAAAGAGAACTTTTCCTTTTCTTTTTGGATTCTGCGTTAGACTGTGTGCAAAAATGAATAAGAAGATACACGAAAGATATAGAAAATTTAAAATAGAATATAAAAAGAGGGGAGGGGTAAAGGACATTTTTGACGGAATTGTTAGATACAAAACAAGATTTTATTCTTCAATAAATGTGAAGTTTAATTATTAGGGGTTTGTTCCTTAGACCGGATGAATAGGAATTTACTATTTAGTGAAAAAAATCGTATTTTTGTTATGTCTATTTTTTACATATCTCAATATTCCATTAATTGTTTTAGCATATATAGACCCTATATTCGTCAATTAGTGTTACATTAGTATTACACAAAGGGTTAGTAGTGACGAACCTCGTCATTGTAATACATGATAAAATAATGTCAATATAGCAATACACCGAGTAATTCATGCAACTCTAAGAAGCATTAACTGAATATAGAACGATGCCTTCTGCCTTAATGAATACATAACTGAATCGTTATATACGTAAGCAATATAACTTGAATACAATCTAATTACAACTCACTTAATATTCTCAAATAATAACCAATCAATGTGCAAGGGACGTTGCTAAATGTTGCCTAATTGCTTCCCACATAATACACTCGAATCGAACTAATTTAATCATACATATCCTAAATTAATGCAAACAATGGCCTTTAGTTTAACTCACTTACAAATATATACTTGGCTAACATAATTAAGCTTAATTGAAAGGCCTTCTTAAAACGGTGAAACTAACGGGGAAAATTCCAGAAAACCAAATAAGTAACATATCCATCGTAAAATATACACTGCTGATTTAAATCGAAACTAATTTTGGTTGTTTTTGATAATACTGATAATAAAGGGACACAATGGGTCAAACACAAGTGAATTGATTGATTTTCGAAAATATTAACCAGGGCCTCTCAAGCGTTTTTCCCTTGCGGTATTTTTCATTGGAGCAAATATTTCCGTGTAATAGACGTATAAACTAGAAATATGATTTCAAAGTTTTACAAATAATTCATAATTAAGAGATTTATTTGAAAATAATTATTTATTTAAATTATATTGGTTTGCATATTTATTACAGATGAAGTTCAATATATATTCTTACTAATAAGCTAGAGTTGAGCTTTTGTATACTTTATTATAATGCAATAAATCTCGGATGAAAATTCGATATTGCAGGGCGTAGAGCTTCAACGTTATGAGGAGTTTCATGATTTTACAAAAATTTCCTTGGAAAAAAGCGTTTTTTAATTTTCGAAGCATATTAAAGACTGTTTCAGAAATGTTAAAAAATGTATCTCATTCTCTCACACCCAAATTTGTTTATAGTTTTTCCCCCCCGGGGGCAGGGGAATTTAAGATACATAGAATCTATCACTCATTAACTGAGCATGTTCTTCTTAAACGCTCAAAGGTAAACATTTGATAAATAAAAAAGGATTATAAATCTAATTTTCACTTTCAGTACAAAATTTGAAAGCAAGTACTTTGGAGATAATATCACTCAATTCGGGCTTTAAATTTTCAATGGAACTCTTAGAATAAAATCTTTGGATGAAAAATTTTGTTTAAAATGGATCTGTAAATTTTGATAAAATTTCTACAACTTCAAATGAGATTACGAGCCCCAATTTGTGAAAACTTGATGTAAACTAAGCAGATACAACTAAACACTTCATGTATAACACTACAATATAATATAATTTAATACACTACAATAAAATATAATTTATTTTCAGTTTCCTAAAAAATGTCCTTACAAAAACTACACATAATTCCTTCTATTTCTTAAAAAAACATAGAAACAAATTTATAAGCACGGACATTGCTTTTACGATCGTCCAAGAACAGCTATAAATCATAAATACAGGTGGAATATATTTCTGCCGTTAGCAATACAATTGTAAAAGAACTTTTCGCTAGATTTTACTTATAATTACAATTTGTTACATTAATGTAAGACTTTATAATAAACAAAACTTGTAATGAATAGAAGCTAAAATGTGTAAATGTCCGTTCAAGCAATTAAGTAAATCTTTAAACACAAGGAGAAACCTAAAAATAAAATAAATTAAAAACCTCCTTTTAACCTAAAAAGTTCTACAAATGTAATTTTTACGCCATAAAACCTAATAAAGGGATTTTTTCAAACTTTTTTTTCTAAAATGAAACAAAATAAATAAAATAAAACGTGAAGAGAGAAACTACTCTACAACATAGAAATAACGACAAGGCAATTTTTTTTTTTGAAAAAAATAATAATCTTTCAAACTCATTAAGCAAAGCTTTTGAAAAAAAAAACTTTTGTACAACCCCTCCCCCTGAACTACAGTAAGATAATCCTTATAAAAAACTTTTTGTTTTGTTTTCATCCCCTTGAAAAAATAAAAGTAAGACCCCTAAAGAAAACTATACATAAGCTTTAAAAGCAGATTTGTCTGTACCTCAAAAAATAAAATTAAAAAAGGGGATTTGTAATTGAAAGAGGAGGAAATAATCCTCTTTTTAGCTCAAAAACGAAAAAAATAAGAAAACAGAGGAATAAGACGATTATATATAAACTTACCTACTCTACTGATACATGTAAATGAGAAGAATAAAACAGCGCGATTGTTTTAAATGTAGAAAAGTTAAGAAGTCTAAAAAACTTCATTTTTTAAATAAAATTTTTTAGTTTTAATTGGGATTTATCAGTTACTACAGTCCATTTCTACAGACAATGCATGCATTGCAACCAGAAATAAATTAATTTTGAATTCTTTATGAATGTATCTATGCAAAATTCATTCCATTTTTGTTTGAAATTAAAATTTTCTTCACTATAAATAAGATTGATGTATTGTTACTTTATGTTAGACTCTTCCTTTATTTTGAATTGATTGAAAATTTTTCTGAATTGTTTATTAATAATATAATACCACATTTTGTTTCACAAATATATACTGTAAATTTCCGTGTATAAAACTAAAATTTTTGGAAATTTCTTAAAGCTTAAGAAAACAGAGGATATACGAAACTTCTAATCTCGGGGGAAAAAGAGTTTTAGGAAAAATGAGGGTTTTTTATATGTATATATATATTCGTTAGTCATGCGCAAGCGCTCTTTTAATCTTTCAAGTTTTTGGGTGTTTCACACACACACAATCTTCATTATAAAAGATATATAGGCACGTAAATTCTTTAAAGTCAGTGTCAGAGTCCAAGTTTCCGAATAATTCGCAGAATGCAAATTCACTCATTAGGATGTCAGAATGCATATGATCAATATGCGGTGAATTTTTTATCTGACCAAGAGAGCTGCCTTTTTCAATTCCTACTATTAGTTCTCTCTCTCTCTATAGAGAGAGAGTGAATATATTTATAAAACTGTGTTCTAATTTTCAATCCTTAATAAAATAGTTTTTATTCATCTACTTAAGATCAAATA